GTATTGTTGCAAAGCAGTCGAAATCGGCTGTCACGGATGGCGCGGCGTCCTCGGCAGTGTTGCTAGCCATTCATACGGGAAACGTCTTCATCCGCCCCGACGAATGTCACAGCCGAAATGGCATTGCTACCTAGGACGTGGCGCCTCCGGGAAAGGTAGGACGCTTCTAGCCGCGGAAACTGTCTTGAAGTTCTTGACAGATGGCCTAGGAATAAATATTGCAAACTTCTACGGTGTGTATGGGTCAAAGATGACCTCGTTTAGATAAAAAATACAATGATGTATTTTAAGTATGTATTATTGTTCATTTAGACTTCGTTAAGACAACAGTATATCACTTATATTTAATAAAATTTTACTAGTATACATGAAAATAATATACGGTCCTCTGGCTCGACAATCCGCCAAGTGTAGTTTTGGCCGACTAGTGTTGATCCAGCCTCTCGGCCATGGAGTAATCCTTCATTAATATCTTCGTATTTCAGTATGTCATATCCTTCACGTCTTGTCGCAGTCAGTTGTCAAGAGGACTGCCAAGTAGCGTCTCCGCGTACGCGCCTCCCACTACGCGTCCCTGCGTAGCTCAGCGGTCAGAATTTGGAAGTAATTAGGATTGGGGTAGAGTTCGCACGGACATACAGATCTTTTTAACCTTAGGGTGAGATTTCTCAGCGTCACACAGAAATAGATACTGCAATATTTGTAAGAAAAGCGCACAGTTATAATTTGCCTCTGCCGGGAATCGAACCCCGGATTGCGCCGTAGAAAGCGAACTAAGCATGCGAGCCAAACAAGAAGGCAATATAATCTCATTAAATCCTTTCCAGTAAGGAGGCTGATCAGTTCCCCATTTGTTTTACATTCTAAGATCGCCGCGGACGTGAGCTTATTCCCGTCGCCCAATCACTCATCCCGCTCTTCTGCTGTGCGTTGCAGGCAGCGCGTGCACGGCGCACGACGGCGCCCTGGGCGCTTGCACGCTGGTGAGCGACTGCCCGGCGGCGCAGCAGGCGATCCGCAGGGGCCAGCGCCCGCGCATCTGCGCCTTCGACGGCTTCACGCCCATCGTGTGCTGCCCCGGCGCCGCCCCGCCCACGCCCGCGCCCACGCCCGCCCCCGCGCCTACCACTTCCACCTCCACCGCGCGCCCGCCCGCCCCTTCGCCCACACCCACGCCCGGCGGCGACGGCAGCGGCGCGAAGAGCAGGCAGAGTGAGTATACTAGATATATTTATGTCTAAAAGTTGGGTTGCCCAAGTGGTCGACACCTCTTGGGGTGCCCTTGTTCGGCGCTTATCTGCGAGTCACCGGTGTGCCCCGTTGCTCGAGCCATCCCAGCGGAAAGCACTCGGGTGCGATCGGTTGTAGTGTAGTGAAAGGTGAATGCTCCCCCGGGCACACCAGTGGGTCACCGCTATCCAATTATTATTGAGGAGCTCTGGTCAAAAATACGATTCACAAGGCCTCTCAGTATTTTATGAAAGGGATAAGTAATAACGCACGAGCTCAATGCGCGTAGAATATAATCATTATAACCACTCGACCTCGTGACAAAATCCCACAATATTTACTTTCGACCATCTTGGCTGAGTTCAGGACTTCTTATACTTTTACAGTGTACCATACTATATCAATTGTTCATTTTGGTGGGATGGACCATATTGATTGGAGTGCTGAGCTCTGCTTAGATGAAGTCATCTTCTAAATCCTCACTAGACATGTCCACATCTAAAACACGATTTACAGGCGTACACGACACTATGAAAAGAACCAATAATACGAGAATTCGTAATGATAATGATTCTACCCCGAGACAAAATAACATTAAAAAATATATAAGATCACTATAAAATACCTCAGGTAATGAGCGTCCACTGATATTTACAGGCCAGAGGCCAAAATAACCTTATTTATATTCCATTTTGAATGTTGATCCACGATTATTGACGATCTCCAGTACTGTAAATATGTAGTTATGATTCGCATACATTCTAAATTTTTGTCTACGTAAATTAAAATCTGTTTTCGAACTTATATAGTACACTTTCAAAACTAGTTCTTTATTCTGCCGCCCGCAAAGGTAACTTGGATAATACGATAGATAGTGACTCCATCCAAGACCCGCAAAGAATGATACTCTCTCAGATATTCTTATATACAATTTATGGCGCGACGTGAAAGGGAAAAGGAAAGGGTACTTTACTATTCACAAACCTCTGACGTGTGTAAACACTTTCCATACTTCAATAAACATGAGAAAATTAGCTATTGATGATTCATTAACAGGAACAATACTTAGTTTCACAAGTGCGTACAATTTAACATCTAATCAATCAATATTTTCAATTACATACAATTAGTTATTCGTTTCATTTAATAAGTAACATTTCATCTCACATTACTTTTTAACACTTTTTCCAACCAGCATTATAATAAGAAAGTGTTAATATTAAGAGATACCCATTTTCAAATAGAAACATTCGTATAATCCTGCAGAATCATTCTGGTATATCGTATCTCCGATAACAATTTCTTTATAGCTGACTACTGGAGAAAAAGACCCTGACTCACATCTGGTCGCGCGAGAAACATTAGCACATTCTTGGTAAATAACACATTCACTCAAGTGT